AGCTCATATATCATTGTAGGAAAAATTATTAGGAAAGTCAGATTATTATAAATGAAAAGGAATTGAACCCATCAAGAGTCTTCACACATAGAATGACTGTTGTGAACAGTACGGGTTGTAGACTTCCAGAACTTTCTTTCTTTCTTTTCTTCTACTTCTTATGTGTGTTGCCTGAGGACAAAATACATTCTACCTGGTGTCATTTTGTCCGTAGCCTCTGGAGAGAGAGTCTCTCACTGCCCACGATCTCTAACAATGCTACGAGTCTCACATCTAAGTGGATTTATCTGGGGATTGAGAGTCTCAGGTTTGAGACAGAAGGACATCCCTTATCTCTTGAGTCTAGTGTTGTCATGCATGGAAACTGAGTTGTCCACAGAACACAAGTGGACCCTGATGGAGGATGAGCCATCTAATGAGTACAGCGAGAAGGGCATCGTGGATCTGGGCAAGCATCTGGGCAGGGACTTCTGAGAGAGAATTTTCTACCAAGAGAGGCATTTCAGAAAAACTACCTTTATCTTCAGGGTACTATGGAGTTAGGGATAAAACTGGTTTTAAGCATTTGCATTTTTTAAATAAAAACAATCTGTTTACTTTATAGCCTAATAAAAACATTGATTTAGTTATATTTTTGCCAATAAAGACTAAATTTTGTGAGGTGGCGACTGTGTGTAGTTTTGAAAAGACCCATCAGTTATGGAAGAGATGTAGGTGTGACTGATGTGTTCTGTTGCCAAGATATGTTGCCATCTGCTGGTCATCCCTAAGAACTTCATGCATTAGATTTTATTCCATTTAAAAATGTTATTTTTTTTTTATTGTTTGACAATTTCACACATGCACATGATGTGTTTTGATCAAGCCTGCCTCCTATTATCTCTCCTTTAAATTCTTCTCCTATCCAACTCCTACTTTTTCCTGACAACTTCATGTGTTCTTTTCTGAAAACCTATTGAGTCAACTTACTGATACCCTGCATGTGCATGGGTGTAGGGCAAACTCTACTGGTGCTTTGGCTTCCCAGGGCATGCGCCACTGAGTAAAACTGACTGCCTACACGCCAGCAGTCATCAACTGCCAAAAGTTCCTCAGGTAGGGGTGAGATTTCATGAGCCCATTGAATACTGGGATTTTGGCTGGCTTGGTCAGGGGCAGATCCGTGTTCATGTGTGCAGTGGCCCTAACATGTCCAACAAATAGGTTTCATAGCTTTTGATTTTAAAATAGTCCCTTCAATCATAATTTGTCTTGCATCGTACATGCGTACTAGTTTCGATGCAGGAGTGAGGCTGGGGAATGACTGTACCTTCTCTGCCCTCAGACAGGTTTATACTAAAGCAAAGGTGGCTCCTGTACGTGACTGAGGGGTTGAGAAATGGCCTGAGCCCATCTGTCCTTCGTTCTTTGATGAAGCATAGCTCATTCTCATGCTTGTCTTGCCCACTCTGCCTCCCGTCTGTCACCCGTCTATTTGATTATTATGCACCGGGTTTGATAACAAAGCAAATCAACACATGAAGGACATGGAGGGAAAAATGTTAAAATTGATGAAAAAATAAATCTATAAGTTGTGTTCTTTCTGGGTCAGCTGTCAGTTCTCACCTAAAGTGTAACAGAACCCAGTGCAGTAGGGAAGGCCATATTTTCTCATTAAAATACTGTGACCTTATCAAACACAGTTAAATCAGTCATTTGCATAATCAGTACAGATCTTCAAAGCTATGCTGCATTCTAATATTTGTGCTATGAGACTTAAAAGTAAAGTATACCCAGAATTCTGTATACCCAATTAGACTACATAGAAAGAAATCTGTATTTGACATATATATATATATATATATATATATATATATATCTCCACTGTGCTAACTAAAAACTCTCAATCAAACATCTAACCAGCAAAGGACTTGTTAACAATGTAACAATTCAGATGGATTTGGAAGTCTCTCAATGAAAGAGTGAAGCAGTATGTGGAATTTGTATGTGTTCGGTTTTCTTGTAGGGAGTAAATATATTTAAAATTTTGTATTAACTTTACTGCCACTTTGCTAAAATAATCGTTAGTTTCTCCAAGCAAAGGACCTGACAGTTATGTATCTTTTTGTCTTCATAAAATCCTTGTGAAGGTGGCTTGGAGAAATTAAAGAGCTTGTTCAAGTTTACAAAATGAGACAGCATCAGAGCAGACCCTGCAGACTGTAAACTCTGAGCCAGTGAAGATGTACTCCTATTATGGTCTTTCCTATTCCCATGGAAAGCTCAATAACATTTCAAATCAAGAGGGATCTCACGGGTAATTAGAAACGTCATCTTCATCCCGCTAAATGTGTTCTGTTTTTATATTTATTCTGCAATAGATTCATTCCTCAAAAATGTACCAAATCACAAACACTACAATAGGGAGGCGAATCTATTAGTTTCTTGTGATGTTTTTAAAATAACTATTATGAATGGATGCAACAGTTTCTTTATATACTTCAAGTCAAATTAGAAATAGGTTGGAGAAAAAAGAGGAGAAAGTATATATATTTACTTTCTGTTTCATTTAAGTTAAAGTTTCCAGGGTATTTAAAAATATCCTGCAAATTACAATTTTGAGAAAAAAAAAAGCACACTGCTGTATAATCATAGAGCTATTTACAGAACTGGATAATGGTCTGGCGAGGAACTGATAAACAATGGATGCCTCAAAACTGTACAGCGGAGGGAAATGAAGCCTGATTGTCTAATCACTGAGGCTTGGAGTATAGAGAACTTACTTAACAAAGACCCACTTGTAAGTCTGCTCCCATGAGGCACTGCTCCATGAAGCAGGATACAGGAGTAATGACTGTGGATGACAGAAAATTGCTGCAGTTCACGAAGGCAGCTATGCAGAAGAGAATGTTTAGGCTGCTGCAGAGATTCGGAATTTGAGGTGCAATTAAGTCAGACCCCTGCCATTTGACCTTGGCGGCTTGCTTGAGCCAGCGGCTACAAGATTACCAATGTAATTGCAGTGAAGTAATTGCGTGCATATTTATTTCTTGAATGCCCGTCTTTGATGCTTGAATGTCAACTCCATGAAGGAATGTGTCTAGTACCCTTGCATGGGACCCAGCCCACAGTGGCTCTTGATTAGCCTCTCCCTACCTCAGAGCTCACTGAAGTTGGAACTCAGTTGAGATCTTGAGTTTTCTACGTATATATTATTTTATAACCTTGGACAAGTCATTTAAATTCTAGGTATCCAGTTTCTTGACCTATGAATTGGAAGAGCTAAGGAATTTACTCCATATAGTGGCTGTGGGTTTTAAACAAGATAATGAATTTTTAAAAGCCCCTCATGTGACGCTGAATATGTAAGTGATTCTCTACAGTGGTAGGTTTCATCATCTTTTATTTGTGAATTAGGAGCTAGGATATTTTATTTTAATTGTTTTTGAAATAGGGTCTCACTATACTTCCCTGGCTGTCCTGGAACTCACAAAATAGACCAGGCTGGCCTCCAACTCGCAGAGATCCACCTGCCTCTGCCTTAAAGCATTAAAGGTGTGTGTTATATGTCTGGCTCTCATATGCATTCTGATTGCCTCAGGTAGCTGGCTGTGGTATGGATTTCTGTATCCTGCCACCAGACAGAAATTTCTGATTTAGTACAGCTACATTAAGGCACAGAAATCTGGGTTTTAAATATTCCCCTAAAAGGAAAATAAGAGAGATAGGCGGAGGCGGAGGCGGAGGCGGAGGCAGACCATTTTTGGGTGGGTGGGAGAAAAAACGTTTTTATTTATAATTAAGTTTCTAACCTGAAGAATCAGTAAGGTTTATGCTACTCCATGTTTCCCAGAATAGCTCCTTCGGCCTGGTTTCTGTTTCCATCTAGACTAGCTGTTCAGTAAGGAGGCCTGGGAAGGACACTCATTTGTTGGCATGGAGGACCCAGACAGGAAAATTATAAACAGTAAAGCAAATAGGAATAAAGAAAAGAAAGACAGGGCTTTAGGGCTTTTCTCTACTTTGTTTTGTTCAGAGAGGATCAAACAACCCAGGCTGGCCTTGAACTCCCTATGTAGCCAAGGATGACTTTTAACATCTGGCCATCTGGTTTTTCTACCAACCAAGTGCTGTTGCTACTGGCTTGTGCCAAGAATCCCTGGTTTTATGCAGGAGTGGACCAGAACTCTTGACTTCCTGAGTGCTAGGCAAACACTTTACCAACTGAGCCACATGCCAACCACTAGACAGTTTCTAAGATCTGTCGTTTCCATGATTGCTTTTGTGCTGAGGTGATAACATCTATTTCTTCCAGTTTAGTTCGCTTTGGTATAGTAAAAGAAATACTGGTGGATGGGGACATGGCTCAATAACTAAAGGGCTTGAGCATCCTTTACTTACTGGATCCTCAGCACCTATACAAAAGCTAAGCATGGCCAAACATGCCTGCCATCCCAGAACAGAGGAGGTTAAGACAGGCAGATACCTGAGATTTGCTGCTGGTAGCTCAGCTAGACTTGCTGAATTGGTAAGGGTAGGTTCTGGTTTCAGTGAGAGACTCTCACAAAAAGTAAGATGGAAGTTAGAGAGGAAGACATTGGATGTATCACTAGAAATGGACCTCAGGTCATTGTTCAAACACACCCATGTCTGTTCACACACGTGGACATACACATGTGCTCCCCGCCTCTCCTCTTGTGTTTAACAAGGGTCTCCCCTTATCGTAGAAGAATACAAGTGCAGCCGTGGAAACGTTCCCAGTCACTATTTTGTCCTAGCCAGCCTTTGATTGTTTTCCAGAACTTTGTTACCTTTCTTGTCCCTAAAATGGATTTCCTAAGAAGTCGGATGTTCTTGAGGGTAGGTAAGCTATCATAGATCACCTTAAAGACAAACTGAGCACAATAGAAATGAGCCCAAAAGGCAAACAGTTAAAAAGAAAGAAAGAAAAATGGGCAGAAATGTTCATTCATTAGGGAGGGCTGGGGAATCAAGCTGCCCAAGGATGACTTTCCTCTTACCAGCAGGTTCTCTGGCTTGATGTCACGGTGGACGATGTTCAGGCTGTGCAGGTATTTGATGGCACTGGCCAGGTTGTACAGCATCCCGCTGGCATCTCGCTCTGTGTATTTGCTAGTGGAAGTGATGGCATCAAAAAGGTCTCCACCCTGGAAGAGAGCAGCTGGTTGAGTAGGATATTGACAGATGGACCGATAGGCTGCCCGTGGAGGAGACTGACAAACCAGAAAGGATATAAAGAATGGATCAGAATTTGGGGCTTCCTAAGGGCTTTCTCTGCTACTGTCTTTCAAAAGATCAAAGACTCATTGGTGATTTTGCTCCTCAATATGAAAGATATTGACATGTTCTCCTGAGCTTAAAAAAAGAGCAGAGGGATGGGACCTGGCAGCAGACATGTGCTTCTCTCCACAGCCCCCTTTCCAGGGAAGAGGAGGTGGATCTGGGTCCCCAGCTGAGAAGCCTCATGTGGAGGACTCGGTGACATGTGCTACCTGTCACACACCAACTGCTAGCTGAGATGCAAATTCATAGTCCTAAAACTCCCCCAGGTAATGCTGCATTCCTATCTTTAACAGAATGTTCTCGTGCCTTTGAAATTATTAAGACACGTGTGAAACACACACTCACTCTTTCTCTCTCTCTTTGATTTGCTACATTTAGCTCTCTTGAAGTGGGTGTTGAGCTTTCTTTTTCAATAATGTGTTTCTCTGTAAGAAATGGAAAACATGACCCACAACTTGTAAAGACAAGAAAGACAGGGAGAGAGGAAAGGGGAGATGCCAGAGAATGCCAAAGATAGTCTTCTGGGTCTATTATTCCTCTGATCTTTTATTTCCTTGGTTTCTTTATAACTTATTACTACTTGATCAAACAGTGGTTTGGGGCTCAACTTTAAGTTGCATGTATTTGAAGTCCTTTCAGAGCTTGGGTGTGCTTTACTAAAAACATCTTTCTTGAATATTGACCAAGCACCAGCTGAGCCCAGAGCCCGAATGCATTCCTATGTCACTATGTAGTGACCAGCTTAATTTCCCCTTTCAAAACAGCAAAATTAACACATAGTTCTGGAGGCTGTCAGGTGTCAGGTTTCCCAAACCATGTTGGCATCTCTGTTCCTCTATGCAATTTCCTCCCTGAAAACTTCTCTCACTACAGGCCAAGAAATGGCTCCTCGGCAAACTTAAACAAATGTTTTCTCCTCCCGTTCCTGTTTTTCCCAAAGACAGGGGTGTCACACAGGTATGAAGTTTGTTTCTGAGCTGCAGGAGGAGGTGGAATATTATCTGTGGTCTACTGGGGTCCCCTACCCTTAGTTATACAGCAGGACATGTATGTCTGTGCTTGAGAGCATGCAAAGACCTGGATGCTGTCCAGGTCAAGCAGGCTCAGGCCTCAAGGCAGTTCTTTCTGGCTCAGACAGGATACTCACTCTCTCTTCTAGTTGAGACGTCTTAGTTATACAGAGAGAATTCAGAAAGGCTGCTCAGTGTGATGACAACTTTGCTGTAGTCATCTGATCAACATACAGTCGGCAATCAGACAGACCCATCACCAAGTGCCTCGATTTCCCATTCCTAAATTTAACTTATTCTCATCTTCCCCACAAAATCAGCCTACGGGGAACTGTCCAATAAAAATACAGGGATTAATCATCTCTTTAATCGTGCACAGCAAGGCAACAGGAACACACTGAAGCTGTTGGTTTAAAGAGCAATGCCATGGTGAAATTCTATTCTGTGAGCCAGAGATACAAGGTGATTAAAACAGTGATTTTATAATAAAATGTGTATATAAAAATTGGAACAAATTAAAGGACTTCTCTTTGATCAAATGATAGTTTAACATTTTTGACCACAACAACATTGACATATTTGGACATCCCTAGCCTCAAATATGACAACCATAGTTTTTCTTTGGCAAAAAAAAAAGAAGAAAGAAAACCGAAATCCACACCTTTACTAATTCCATTACAAGATACAGTTCAGTCGGCACATCCATCTCTTCAATCAGGAGAACAATGTTCGGGTGCTTCACTCTCCTTAAGATGGAGACCTCATTCTGGATCATGTGTTCCTGTAAAGGGGATAAATTATTTTAATAGACCCAAAATATTTGAGGGACTAACTCAAGATAGTACAACAACCTGAAGATAGGGAAGCTATATCTTGGTGAGATGTAATAAAATTTCCTATAAAATGACAGAATGAATCGCATATAACAAAAATAAGAAAAGACAATAAAGCAAGCAAAGATAAGAGGAAAAATCAAATCAAATCATCCCCACTCCATTTATTGTAGGAATAGTAATAAAATTATATATTCTTCTAAACTTGTGATATTCTGTGCCATCAAAATGTGCCTCTTGGGCTGCACTGTGTTAGGAAACCAGTTTCTGCTTATCTACCCTTGGAACGCAAGCTTTACAAGAGTAAACTTGGTACGCACTTTGCCTCGGCATTTACTTTTCTTGATGATTTTCAGAGCATACTCCCGAGCAGTCGATCTGAAAAATGAAATTTTTAAAAATAAAACTTAATTTTGAATCAACTGACTCCTTGGTTGGGAGTTATTTTCTTGCTTGTAGGTTTCAGTATTCCTGTTTTTGAGAGGGCTTCTTTCTTTCTGTACAAAGATGTCTGCAGATGTTTATGAACTTATCCCATCTAAGGGCAACGGATGTGTTAGCACAGACAAATCTAGAGCCATGTTATGTAGCCATGCCTGTAACCATCCTCCTTGCCACTCATTTACTTATTCCCCTCACCTCTTCCACACACAGGATCTCCCTACATAGCCCAGGTTGCCCTCAAACTGGTGATCCTCCAGCATCAGCTACCCAAGTGTTGGGAATACAAATGTGATCTATTGTGCCCAGCATCTCAGTTTTTCCTCTCCACTAGGGAGGCTATGATAGTTGTCTGAACAGCTCTTAAGGTCACCCCGAAGACTCCTGGGAAGTTGTAGATGTCCGTTCAGTGCCAGAGCCTGAGAATGAATTGCTTAAGAACCCAAGAGTGATGAGGCTCACAGAGGATAGAGAAGGATGAAACCATTTTTGGAACTTCCTGGTTGAGATGGAGAGGATACTCCTTGGAAAGAGGAAAGGCAGGCTACTTGGCATTAAGCGGTGAGAAGGCAGCACCAAGCATGAGTGCTACTCTCACCTACATAGAGGGCTCCTTAGAAGCCTTGGTTGAGTAAGATCACAGAAGCCTTTCAAAGGACTCCTCAAGAAACTTCTGAAGGCTTGGCAAGTTTGAAAATAGATCAAGAAAAAAACTAGATAGAGCAAGTCTCTGACCAGAATCTCTGAGCAAACTTCCTTTCTGAATTTGAATGTGTTTTTTGATGAAAGGGCATTTAGTCTTGAACTTACGGATTCCATACTTACAGCAATATTGCTTAGGGATATATAGCAAGAATAGAGCTATGCAAGGCTCCAAAACCAAAGCTGTGACCCCACCTCACCTCACGTTTCACGAAACAATGGAAAGACAGTCAGGTTGGTGTGGAAAGTGAGTTCCTCAGCTGTAGGATTCTCTTGAAAGAGTGATGTTAAAGTCTTCTACACCCATGGCTTGTATGAAATCTGAGAAGGTAAAATTTATCTCTACAGGCAAGAAGGCATTTTAGAGCTGGTGACAGAGTTGTCTCCCAGGAAGCCAGCATCTTATATTCTGTCCCAAGCCTACCATTGAGGGGAGATGAATGTAAGTGTGGGTTGGGTGGTATCAGGGCTTCTAAAGAAGTATGTCACCTCTCTAGCTAGCACATTTTATAACACAGTTAAATATTCTACCAAATTTACTCATATCTTATATCAGAAAACAAACCCCACAGAGGGTCACTAATCTTAATATCACAACAATTTTCTCTTGATTTTTAGAAGCAGAACTGTAGTTACTTAATAATATCCATTAATTACTTTAAGTATGTGTTTCTAGGAGGAGCTGGTATTTAAAATTGAGCCCCAAAGCATATATTAGTACCAAATGTAAACCATAATGATAGCAATGCCAAGGAATACTTTACTCAAAATAACCTACTTGATTTAAGGCATAGAAATTGAGGAAAGCAATTCTGGATTTCTGTCTTGCTGATAGCAACACGGGCCATTTGTTTATCTGTTCCTGGCATTACACTCTTGACCTTTCGTGGAAATCTCTAGGCCATAGTAAGAGCAGCAGCACCAGAGAATTCTGTCTTTGTCCTCATCTAGGGCAAATAAATTGGTAAAGTCACCTTCCCGTTAAATATGCTCTCAGGTTGGAACCCAAGTACAAGTTTTCTGATTAGACTTAAAGCCACTCCACAGGATGGAGCCCATCCCAGACAGCTATCAGGGTCAAGAATATGTGACTAGAGAGTAGCGAGGGGAGAACCGGCCACTATTACTCTGTTAATGAGTATTAAATAGTACCAAACTGACTCCCCATGGTTTGCATCCCGCTTGTAGATTAGTGTACATTTGAACTGTCATCTGAGGAGATCCTTACTGTTGTAGATGACTGATACTGAGACCCACAACTGCTCAAGGTGTCCAGAGTGACATCAGATGCTCATCCCTACATGAGATATCACATCACACCCTCCTCCTAAGGGTCAGAGATCACTGTAGGGGATGGTGGTGGGAAGACCTGAAGAGTCATAGGTGGCAAATGACCCAAAGAAAGCATAAATTTCCAGTAGCTAAGACAGTGTTCATAAGATCTGCACAAGCTCAAGCCAGACAAAATCCCATCATGGAGAAGGGGTGAATACAGGATGTTCCACTCCTGGCTGAGGAGCTATTGGTAATTGATAGCTCCTGAGAAAAGGAGGAGAATTAGTTTTCTTTAAGGGGGTGGCTCCTGGTAACTCTAACATAGTTCACAGAATAGTCACATGCCTAAGAGTTAATAGGTGGCATTAATGAGACTCAATGGACTTAAAAAACAAATTGAGAACATCACATTAGATGTCAGAAGGATCCGGGAGGACACAAGAGAAAAGGAATATGACCAAAAACAATGTGTGAAAATGTCAAAGAATTTATAACAATATTAAAAAAAATTCAATTGCTCAAACAGTGGTATGCTAGCAAAGAATATGTTAGAAGGCACACAGAAAAGGCCCATGTCACTCAGTAACTGCTCCCTGTAGAAAAATTGCCTGTGGTGGCATATTATTACAGAGGAAGAGCATCTTTGCCCTTGTTGAGACACATTCATTCCCCCAAACAAAGCAAAATGTACCCACAAGCAGCATGTGCCATCCATGACATTCTTAGCTTGTGTTTATTTTCTTGGATCTCTGTAAAATATTAAAAGAATGTTTTATAATATCTCCGGGGAGAGAGGGCACCAGCCATATGTCCTTGCTCAGCAGGAGCTGGATGCTGACACTTTCAGAGCAATCTGGTATTTAGACTCTGAAGTTTCACACAGTGAGCCCAAGACGTGAACTCATGGAAAATGAATACAAGCCAAGTGAGAAAGAAGAGAGGAAAAAGAAAGGAAGGAAGGAAGGAAGGAAGGAAGGAAGGAAGGAAGGAAGGAAGGAAGGAAGAAGGGAAGAGAAGGGAAAGGAACAAAGGAAGGAAGGAAGGAAGGAAGGAAGAAAGAAAGAAAGAAAGAAAGAAAGAAAGAAAGAAAGAAAGAGAGAGAGAGGAGGGGAGGAAAGGAGGAAGGGAGGAAGGAAAGAAAGAGAATTCTGAATGGAGACATAGGAACTGTATGGTGTGAGAAGGCTAGGATCCCAGGACTGAGTCTAGGACCAGCTAGAGCAAACAGTAACTGATCTGTTGAGGTTTGGTCTTTTGCTATGTAGTGTATTGTAATGATAAATACTGGCCCTCAGAGCCTGGTTGATTGCAGGGAATCCACATTGTACAATGTGACTTTGCTCCTTAATTTAAAACATTTGGTTAAATAAAGATACCAACAGCTAATAGTTGGGCAAAAGAGACATAGGTGGGGTTGTGGGATTCCTGGGCTTGGGTGGAGGGAGAACCACAAGGAGAAAGCGAAAAGGTGGAGAGAGGAGGAAGCTGCCGTAGAGTAGATGAATCATAAAAAACATAGCCGTGAGGGCCAGCCAATTGGAGTTAAGAGCTACCCAGATGGAACATGGCAAGTTACAACTTGGGGTTACTGATGGGAAAGTAGATTTTAATTGCATAGAGGGTAGATATCTGTCCAGCTCTAGTGCTGATTGAGGCTTCTTATAAATGTAAAGGTAGTGTGTCTTTTACCTGGGAACAGAATAGTCAATGGTGGGATAGAAGCCCCTGATTGAGATTAAATATTCATGACAATGCTGATCACTGGGTCAGCCTACAGATGATGAGTACTAGCAAATGACCAAGAAGTCCACAAAGAAAAACCATGCTAGTCTGCCAAAAAAGAGACTTTCTGCTTAGTGGAAAAATGAGAGAAAGAGAGAGAGAGAAAGAGAGAGAGAGAAAGAGAGGTGGAAGTGATTCTATACACACAA